ACCCACTTTAGCATAATATTTAGCTTTATACTAGTTAATGGGTTTCAGGCCACGGTCAATGTGAACATTGCTGCTGTCCTTTTGCTGGGCATTTTGCAAGCTGGGGAATCATCTTCTGCTTTTGTAGCAATGGTAGGGACAAAATATAGTGTTTCCCCTCCTTCCCAATTTACAATAAAAAAAGGAATTATACATGGGTTAAAGATCATAGGTTTTTATAAAACACTTACCAATCGTACAGGCTCATAAAATCCAACCAAATAATATACATGTCACCATAGACAGATATGGGGTCCGTATATAAATAAATAGTAGCCCCCATAACACTGATCGAATGCACTCACATCAATGAACATGCCATGCTAAAATTCATTATTATCCAACATAACAGCTTGGAAATGTTCTATGTTGATTCAACAATAACATAATCACAATTTTGTATTTTTAGAACATTACCCATCATGATTGGTTTTATCCATGTTGGAAATTAATATGATATTTAAGACATGTCTGTTGTAATTTAGTTAGTAGATACTCGGAACATCGATGAGATATGTGTAGTTTATTTTTTCTTATACCACACCTGAACCCTGCTGGAATAGATAACCTATTTCAGAACTTAGGGAGGATATTAGGATTTTATTCAAGAGTAATCACAAATTCTTCGATAGAACGCTGAAGTTGACAACGCAAAGTCCTGTATAAATGCAATTTGCGCACATAATCAAGGTTGTGTGGTTTGCTGTTTGGTTGTGGTGTGTGTTTGTGTGTGTGGTGTGTGGTGTGTGTGCTGGTGTGCTGTCTGGTGTAGTGTGTGTGTGTTACACCCCCATTGCCCAGTGCTGGCAGGCTTTGGCATTAATGGGAATAGAGGCAGAAACTATATTTTTTTGGAGGAGAGCAGTCATCGAGACAACTACTTTGGACACCACCACCTGGAAAAAAGGAAAGACAAATCACGCTTCTTTTACAAACTGAAGAGTTGAACAAACGCTTTTCTCGTAAACGACAGCGCCTGTGTAAATAACCAAGCGGCTGTCCACGTGGTGCATGAGGAGCTGCTCTCTGAGGGCTGAGGCCAGCCTTGCCGTGATACTGCAGCAGTTACCGTTACAAGGGGTGGAGGGCGGGCAGGAGCCAACCCGCCCATAAGCTCACCAGCTCTCGAACAACATGTCGTGCTGGGGCCGCTTTGCGAGGGACGCCTCACCAAGCCTGGGGGTTTAGTGGGGGGGACAAGTATGCTAAGTGACATGCGGTTGAGACAGCTATGCAAGAAATGTTGTATAGTCCCCCCAGTTTGAGAGTTTGCCGGGTACCTGAGCAGGCCATTTGCCGCCTTGGCTGCAGGTCAGTCTGGCTCCAGGCCGTTGAAGTCCGACTAGCAGCAGAGGAGGGCGCACTGGGAACATCGGTCCTCCCAGCCTCACACTGTGCTGCCCGACGGTTTCCACTGCGGACCAAGCAGGAGTGAGACAATAGCCTTTTGTGGTCAGTTTTTTGCAAATACTTTGTAGCTGGTAAACTGAAGAGAAGTTAACAATTCACGCTGCTCTGTTTACCCCCTTTATATCTTAGAATCAGAAGGGCGGCGGGAGACGGACTCTGATCGTGCTGATGACCTGGGAAGGACAAACTTGCGACGGATGAACAGCACACCAGAGAACGGGAATGAATGGATCGCAAGGCCTGATGGAGAGAAAGCTAAGTCGAGATATGGAGAAATGAATTTAATGATGAGGCCCAATTTTAGAGGTAAAAGTGCAGACAATGAAATATTGCGATGCTCCATTGGTTAAGTGCCACCAGCTAATGATTAAATTCAGATATCTATAATCAAGGAGCCATTTTTCCAGGCAAACTACACTTCGAATTATATGGGTTTTTAAATTGTTGGATTAAAATTAGCGTATATTGTCTAGATTTTTTGGACATATATTACGTTTCTAGGGGTTGTTTCAAAATGTTACTCTGATGAACCAAACGCCAATCACATGCAAGAATAATAATAGAAGATAATAATAAATAATGAATGAAGATAATAATAACTAATGATATACATTATACAGGTGTTTCCAAGCGGAACTCAACAGACACGTTTAATAGGGATACATAGGGTTTGATAAATGGTAATATATATTAAAATTGAAATAAGTAATATAACATAATAATACTATATATATAATATAATATATATATATGTCTACAACACAAACAATGAATCACACAATTATACAAGCAGATTTCCAAAGAGAAAGAGGTGGGCTTTGATCAGTGATTTGAAGGTGGTTGGATTAGTACAGTCTTGGATTTGTTTGGGGACAGAGTTCCAGAGGGAGGGGGCAGCTATGGATAATGCTCTGTCGCCTCAGGAACGATGCTTGGTCCTCAGTGGCAGAGACAGGAAGTTGGCCTCAGAAGAGTGGAGGCTTTGGAAATGAGTATGATGGTGGAGCAGGTCTGTGCTAGTATTCTTAAAACTTAAAACTGTCTTTTTGTGTCCGAAACAACAGCGATATTTCTTCACAACTGCAGAAAAACATGAAACTGGTCTTCATGCTTTCCAAGTGAATTCCACTTTGTAATAAGCTCATTATCAACATCAATAAAGGCTTCTTGCCAAATGCCTCTAAATGTGGCCAATCTGACGCTGTAAAGACATTTTATTGGTCAGGAAGACACCACCTCTGCTGGACAGTGACTGATTAAAGGTGGGTGGGCCAGGCTGGATGCGTCAACTATTTACAGACAGATGACCAAAGTGCAGAGCAGACCTTGTTTCTGAACCACTGAGCTCATCTTCATAGACCAAACTAACTAACTGCTCTGATATCGCTCTGTAATATTTCACAACCACATTTTACTTTCATGACATTCTTGTTACAGCAGAAAGACAGACTACAGGGACGAGGTCAACTATAGAACAATCTTGGAGCGGTTTCATCAAACTGAACCACTACCAGAACACTATAATGACACATTTAGTGACTGCACTGGGATATCTGAACATTTTTAGCTTTAAAGCAGCAGTAGGCAACTTTTAGTCATACTTTTCACCATATTCTGACAGTAGAACATGAGACTAGAGCTCCTAATGGCATTTGGAAGAATCCACCTGACTGAACGAAACTAACCAATCAGAGCCGATAGAGATAGTTAATTGTTGAGTCTCATTTTCTGGTCATCACTTTGGTCTAGTGGCTTGGTTGTTCTCATTCAGGCTCAGTGGATTCTTGCAAATGCCATTAGGAGAACTAGGAGGAGCCAGAGGAACCTGATTTTTCCCACAGTCTTATGTGGAAAGACTGTCTACTACTGTCAGGATATAGTTAAAAGTTTCAGCAAATATGATCAAATATTTCATAAAAATTACCTACTGCAGCTTTAAACAACATGCACAAACACACATCTACATCACTAACTCTTAAACTAAACATCTGCTATCATGAATTCTAGCCTTAATGCTCTGACTTGACTCTGTGGGATGGATGATACTCACTAAATTATCAAAAATGTAGGAGACACATGTGTCCAAACATCTGGCTTCACCCTTGACATTTTCCAACTAACTACTCTACTGTGTAAGTCACATGTTTGCCTTGTGAGTTACAGTCAGCTAACAGTTAATGAACTTCACATGGTCTAACAGGAATACACTCCAGGGAGCAGTAAACCACTCCACTATCTGCCAGCATTATATAGAGTTTTAAGCCAATCACAGCCGTTGAATCTCTTCCTCTGTGAGGGAATTAAGTTGATAACTTTACCTGTGCAGTGGCATAGCTGGGAGTTGCTGATGGTCCGTACTCCATGCTTTGAAAAATGTCGTGCACTGTCTTGATGGTGCTACCAGCCATAATAGTTACAAGTCAGAGAGGAAGCAAATCCCTCAAGCCGCTGTATGTCCGTTCCGAGTGAGAATCTTGACTTTGAGGCTGGAAGTTAGGTGTAAGAGACTAAAGAGGAAAGGAAAAGGCTGGCAGGAAGGCGGCTGAAGTCCCACTACACGTCAAATGCAACGTGCTAGCTTCCCTCCCACTAAAAAGCCTGAGACTTGCGCTGTAGAAATGGATTTGCAGAGATACATTGACCTACGAGGAGCGAGAGGTTTCCCTCCTGCTTACTTCCGGAGTTGTGTCTGGTTTCTTGGGTTCATTTAGACTGGATTTATGCAAACAACGTAGTGTTTACTGGTTTTGTAAGCTACAGAAAGCAATTTTAGACCAATATTTATACAAAACAACAAACACTTATTGGGTACACTTATTGGTGTTTAGCTGGTGGTTCCGGTCTGTGTTACGTAACACCTCATGAGTTTAAATAAACATAGATAATATATTAGTTTTTGTTAACTACCCTATTGTAAGTGTTCATTCATTCTTTAAAAATATACAGTTTAGATCATTCACCGAGTTTACTATGTTCCGCTCGAGCGCACTGAAATACGACTGTAGGTATCTGAATGAAAGGGCAAACCACAGCCATGTTCCACACGGAGGCATTTTGTCAACGGACCTCAAAAACTAACGAGCTTGCGCTGTACTTACAAGGAAGTGCACAGAATTGGTGCGCGTTTTTTCAGCTAAGTTGGCTCATATCAAAAGCTGATTACTTGTGGCTCTTATCATTTATACAACCTGAGATAAATTGTTCTCACAGTACGGTGTAGTAATCTGCCACAGGCGACGCGTCCCACCTTTGAAGATGCCCCGCAGGAAGGTAAGGCAGCCGTTTGCTGCAGCCGTTAGAGCAGACTGCAGGTCGGACACACAACAACCTAACGTCATAGCTAATGTTAGCCAGCGTACAGGTACAAACCACAGTGGATAAACCTCTCTGCGAGCTGAAAGGCGACTACGAGATGGCATTAATAAGTTGTAGATGTGTGTTGAATATTAATGTTGGTAGAAGCACTCAACTGTTTGTGTTGTGCTAAGGGCTACGCTAGCTGATGTTTATTGCTGAGTTGCGAGATTGTGCTGTTATTTATCAAGTGTTAATCAAGCTTTCTCGGGGTATAGCTAGTAAGAACTGTGGAGATTTGAACTTAGGTCAGATTTGTAGCAGCTGGTGGGGAGCGTATAGGTGCTGACCTCCGTTATTGTCGATAACAGTTAGAACTGGAGGAAAGGAACAGGCTGTTCTTTGAGTGCGAGGACTGAACGAAGCGTCTGCACCAAAACAACGCTGTGATTGGACCGAATCGAGACAAGGGTTGCGCTCATTGGTCCGGCTCTCTCTAACCCCGCCCCCTCCCTAATGTAATTGGTCGTATGTAAATGAAGTGCTCAGCCTCTTGTTGTGATCTTGTCAAATACACTTAGATGAAATGTGCGCTTGTGGGCCATGCTGTGTTGTAGAGTGCTATTTCTCTGTTTACTTGTATATTGTTTGTTGCTGTATTATAGTGCTATTAAAATATAGTTATATAGTATTTCTATTAAAATCGAAGTAGTCTAATTGGGATGTTAACATTATTTTGAACATATACCACATAAAGTAAATGCACATTAAAGCACTTTACTATGTACATTGACATATGGTATTGTATTGATTTATTTTGTTTTCTATTTAATATACTTATTTTGTATCTATATTAACCAAATATATACTCAGTTGAATGCAATTGTAACACCCAATTAAATCCCGGACTTCAATTAATTGTAATCGTATCTTATTTTATGTTATTCCTTGGATGTTCCTTTGTAAGTTATTGTAACAAATGGAGAAATTTGCTAAATAAAATAAAATGACAATGAAATGTGCATATTATTCTTTCACCATATCAATGAATGTGGTAGAAAATGTAGATAGGACTATAATATCACATTTTGGCTATTATTTCAGAGGATGAAAGGGGAACCAATTATTTGTTCAATGCAAATGGTATGTTGGCTTTACTTGAGTCCCCGTACCCCACCCCCACCCAGCCGGGTTTTGGTCCCCCTCAAACCGCTCAGCATCACCCCATTCATTCCGTGCAGCAGGCAGCTATAGAGCCGCCTGCAGTTTCGACACACTGTGCAGCAGTTTATGGGCCATTTCATCACTACATTTGTTTTGCTGAACAGTCTTCTAAACAATTAGCCGACTTAACTGATAATAAACTGGAAATACAGGCTGGAAGGTGCCCTCCCCCTCGGGCGTTGAGGCAAATTGGGGTGGCTACAATAGGTGCAGTCGGCGTTATCAGGGCTGGGCCCGTGGTGATGGCGTTTAGGCTTGTTTTGAGTATTTATTAAGTCCACCGTGACGACGGGGTGATGCTCCTCCCCCAGTATGGGCTCTTTGCTGAATTATCCGCTGGTAAAAAACAACAACACACAAATATTTACCTAAGTTAGTGTGACAGGCTTTCTCTGACTGGTCTGAGGCGGTTACGGTCACTGTCCAGACTTTAACTCCCGTCATGTTGTCGTTTCCAGAGGACCGCTGGCAGCAGCTCGGACGGGACGGAGGACTCGGACTTTTCCGCCGACCTCGAGCACTCCGAAGCTCCCGAGAGTGCGCGCAGGCGCAGCAGCACGCGCCTGACTCGCGCTTCACTACGCCTCAGCCAGAGCTCACAAGGTACACAAATCAATTATTATTATTAATTATAGTATTATTCTTATTATCACTCCATAAGTTTCAGATTGAATTGGATGTATAACAACAAACAAGGCAGCACTTTTAGTTTTAACCACGTGTTTTCTCGCTTAGTGAATTGTGAACTGTAAACTAATTAAATTAAATTAAAGTAGTGTTCTTGCCATTTTCCTAGTTGGTATAATTAAACCTATTTATTATATTCTGCTCCTCTTAAACGTCTTTGGTTACATGCTTCTTTTAATCATACTTATTTTATCATACAAACATATTATCAAGCCAGACATTTCTGCACACAGTATGATTTATATGTGTCATCTGAATGAGGAAGGACCAGGGACCACAGAGAGACTTCCAACCCCCTCACTCCAACAGTTCAGCAGTAGCTATTATACACTGGCAGCCTGAATGGGTTCAGACAGCCTGACCTCCCCCACCACAGACACATAAACTCTACTCCCACCCCCTGTGTGACCTCTTTCTGCTGTGGCTGCCAGAGGGGATTTACAGCAGAGAAAGAAAGGCTGACACTGTTTCCTCTGCTTTTTGTCACGGAGAGAAGTTGGCTACACTGTCGTAGTCCTCACACAGGCTTAGAAACAGCACAGACACTGGTTTTCTCCAAAAAGAAGTGGATTCAGAGGTTGACTCTTCTTTTCTGTGGTAGGATTTAGTCTCTTCATAACCACTGAGGCCATTTGCAACAAGTAACTCTTATCACCTTCTTACTTTTTTTGCTTGGGGGTTGCCCAGTTAAAGACTGCTCAGGTTTAAGAAGTCAGTCTAGAATTAGATTTTTAATGCATTTGTTGAGTAGATTGTAAAATTCTGCAGTTTTCTGAGAAATTCATTTCATTCCATGTACACAATGAAGTATTGCTGCATCTGACAATTATTGTCATTATTTAATCCGACGTCACCAAATTGCTAATCATCTGAAACCTTAAAGACAAATCAGCAGCAAATTCTCACAATTTAAAAGCTGGAACTAGGAAATGTTTGTATTGAAATTAAATTAATGATCAATTGGTGATCAAAGTAGTTACGAATGGATTTGTTCAAACTCTGCACTCAAGTCAGTGACTATAGGTCACACTGCCAGTAAAGAAAGAAAAAACACTAAAATTGTTGTAAAGTAAAAGTAGCAATGCTATAAAAGGAAATAGATATGTTAAGCTGCAGTAGGTAACTTTTATAAAAATAACTTTTGGTCATATTTGGTGTTTTACTATATCCTGACAGTAGAACATGAGACAGATATGAGACAGGTAATCTGTGAAAAATCAGGTTCCTCTGGCTCCTCCTAGTGTTTCTAATGGCATTTACAGGAATCGACCGGGCCTGAACGAAAACAACGAAAGCTGTTGGTTGATTATTAAGTCTCATTCCCAGGGTCCCAAAGTGTCTGTATTTGACACCCTAGGAATGAGACTCAACAATCAACTATCTTTATCTGTCTCATGTTCTACGTCAGGATATAGTGAAAGTCTCTGCAAATATAACAAAAGCAGTAAAATGTGTCCAAATAAAAGTAGTCATTATGTAGTATATTTATAAGTGTATTCATCTTTAATCAGTATGTTAATGTTTTAGGTAGTCAAAATAAATTTGGATTTTACTGCATTTTATTACGTTGTATTTTTTGTATGTAAAACTATATTTGAAATCATTCAGTAATCTCTTCTTTTCTCTTCTCTTCTCTTCCAGATAACTGCAGCTCAGTACGGACCAGTTCTCCTGCACCCGTGGGTCCTGACGAAGGCCTGGATTCAGCAGCAGAGTCGCCAGCAGCAGCAGCGACAGCAGTGGCAGCATCCGTCTTCTCGTCTGGGCGCAGGGTCACACGCAGCCAGCAGGGGGCAACAAACACCGCAGCCAAAAAATACCCACTGCGTCAGAGCAGGTCGTCAGGCTCAGACACTGAGGCTAATGGTGAGAGCGAGTGGTCCCCGGCATGTCTTAGAACATTACATTAGGACTGCTTTCAACATTTTCTTACGGAGAGGACAGAAAGGACGAAAGGGAGAGTAAGAGTGATGAGCACATTTGAAAAGGAAGTTGGAAGGGCAGAGAAAAGAAGGAATGATGTGAAGATGAGTTGGACAGGAAGGGTAGGAGGAGGAAGGGCGTCCATCTGCATGTTTCATTCATTTATTGTAGTGCTGTTCAGCTAATGCCATGAGCCCAGTCTGTGATCACAGTGTGTTCCTGATTATAAAGAAGAATAATATGTCTGAGTACATATCCGTGACTTGTGTTTTGTCACTGGGATGAATGAATTACCTTACAGAAACCAGAATCTGTTGTCTAACTAAAGACACTGTATGAGGTGGTGATCTGTATCCATTAAAGCACACAGATCTGTGCTTAGATTGTTTGCTTATTCAATTTTATAATTTATTACCTTAACATTGAATCACATTGTGAAATAATATTAAGAGTGATGCAATGATACACAGTTAATTTAATTCAACATGTTTGTTTCTTTGCACAATACAAGATTCTAACAAAGTAAAACCTAAGGAAAGAATCAAACATAAGGAACAGATGTAAAGCCACACAGCCAAGAGTAGTAGTGTTTTAAATGTTTACCTACAATTTTCCTGTGGTCCCAGCAATATTTGTTCTGAAAGTATACTAAAGTAGCATATCACCCGTATTTTAATGTGTTTGATTTCAACTATTCTAATTATCTATTAACTCCCTGTGCTCTTTTATTTGTTTGAATCTGTGGGATGTTTCTAGTTCTTCTCTGACTTGCTCTGTATGAAGAGTTTTATTAGGAGTGATTTGTCCACCCCCCCCACTGCTCTCTGCTGGACTTTTGCATTGTGTAAATATTGTCTCCACTTCTCACAGCAGTAGCTTGTGTGTGGTTTTCCAGTTTTATCCCCTCATTGTGGACATCAGGTACTGTACTGTCTGTGCCACGTGTGCGTGTAGGCATGGACTGGTTATTGTTTTCTCATGAAGTGGCTGTGTTTTTGGGCTTGTGAACACGTACTTAGTGAGTATAGACTAAAAGTCTACAGTGTTGCACAAGTGAGGGATGAACATCGCCTATACCTATACTAAACTAACATTTACGCCTATTCATTTTGGAAGAGCAATGGTCAAAGGGGAAGCTAAATCCACTGAGTCAGAGCTTTGCTGCAGTCCAGCCAGAAAAACATCAGCCTCAGGAAAGGCCATATTATTATTATTATTATTCCTTTAGTCAAGTGGAATCAGTTTTTGCTGTTTGTCAAGACCAACAAGATTAGTTATTGGGATCACAGTATTACACAAAATAAGTTTGTCACAGGTACCTCTGTGTGCCTTTGTTTACTTGTGTACCTGCAGGATTTCTGAAAGTTAGTTAGGAATGATGTTTTGGGGTGTAACAAAGCATTGGTGGAGGTTTGCCTGAGGTTTCCCGACTGGAAAAATAGGAAAGGAAATGTGCTGCAAGAAGTCCTCCCATTCACCATCCAGCCTCTCTAAACTCAAACACTGGTCTTCTGCTGCAGTACCATCAGTCTTTACTATTGGATTTCTCTGCTGGCAGCCACTGCTGGAGGGTGTTAACTGCATCTGTATGTGGTCACATTGGCCTACAGAGATTTCCCTTGAGAGAGACTATGGCAATAGACATACCTTTATCACAAGACAAGTGGTAAAAGATATGGCATGACATGGCTACGTAGGGGTAGATACAGCTTTTTAATTACATGTTTTTACATGTTAGTGGTGTTACTGTTGCTGTGCTGCTGTTGTCCAGCCCACAGTAGTTGTATTTAGTCTGCCACTTGTTACGCTGCATAAATATGAAAGACAAAAAATAACAGTATAAGTAAAATAAATTTAAAAAATGTAAATTTAAAAAATGCAGAAATATATCATTAAGTTTGTATTTATTTCTACATTTATGCTTGTATTTCTACATTTATTTATGTATTTAGGAAAATGACTATTTCTATATTACTACATTTATGTATTTATTTATGCTTAGGCCATTTTCTGTCCTGGAAAAATAGTTCCACTCGCCATTACTGAATAATGCCTTTAAAGTTAGATTGTTAGGGTGCATGTTAATGTTTTTCCTTTTCAAAAGGCATGGGATTGTAAGTTTTTACCCAGCATTCTTGCAATTATTCCCCCCATTCCCTTTGTCCTGATTGGCTCAGCAGACCTGAAGCAGGGGGCAGACCGGGACGAGACCCCTCCTCGCACCCCAACAGGAAACGCCCCATCCTCTGAGTCAGACATCGAGGTGTCCAGTCCCAGCAACGACCTTGTGTCCTCTAGCAACGATATTGTAGTTTCACAAGAGGAGGACGAGAGATTGGCCAAAGAGCTATCGCTCAAAGAGGCCGCCGCCCACGACCTCTCCCACCGGCCCAAACGACGGCGCTTCCACGAGAGCTACAATTTCAACATGAAGTGTCCCACACCTGGGTGCAACTCACTGGGTGAGGGCACAAACACTGTGTTTTTTTATTTCAACAGATGTCCTGCTCCTATGCACCAACCTGAGCTCTGTTTCCATCCCTCTCTACCACCTCCTTTCTCCCCTTTTCTACCAGGTCATCTAACAGGGAGGCATGAGAGACATTTCTCCATATCTGGATGTCCTCTATACCACAATCTCTCTGCCGATGAATGCAAGGTACACATACACACATGCAAACAACAATATCAACAGGCACTGCAGGTCAAGAGTGAGCAAACAACAAAAATAAAAAGCAAACATCTGACCATTTTATGTATTGTTACATATACACTGGAGTAAAATATGTTACATGTTTGCATCTTTTTAGCTTTTTATAACATTACTCATTAATCAAACCGAGTTTCCACTGTGGGAACATCTCAGCCATCACACTGCGGCCGAGTGTCCAGTGGATGGAACTGATGGAAACCAACAGACTGTAATTGAAGTTGTCAAGCTGTGAAGCCTCTAAGAACAATGGGGTTTTTCCTGTGATTTTTCTGCTGCGGGGGTGGTTGTGAGTCGTTGGTGGTAGACAGTGTTGATGTTTTGTTAGGGCAAGGCATCGACGCGCGACAAACAGGCTGAGGAAAGGACGCTGTCGCACCGCCAGGACGAGAACAGACACTCCACAAGAAACCAGGTAACATACTTGCACAGAGATGTAAACATGGGCATCAAACAAGCATAACACACGTTGACACATGGTCACACCTAGAACAGACAGATATACACATATACTGTATACACTGTATACACATATACTGTACATATACCCGACTCGATTTCACCTGTCCAATTTACTTCATAAGAATCTGAGGGTGTGTTTTTGTGTGCGTGTGTGTGTGTGTGTGTGTATTGAAGGGAATTCCCACACACTGCAGCATTACTCTTAAAGCACTGACACCTAAGGTTAGAGATCACACTGATTCCTGAGTGTAACAGGACCAGAGTGATGAAGGGCTGCTGTAGGTTGAATCACAGTGTGTGTAAAAGGACTCCTGCTCACAGTGCTCATTGATGAACAGAGAAAAGAAAGTAAATGAGCCAGAGTTACCCTAAAAGGCTAATTTGCATTCATTGTCCCTGGCCAGATGTTAAAAAGTCTCCCTGAAACTGAATAAAATGACATCTTATAAAATGTATATACACAAGACAATAAATATGCAAAAAATAGTACATTGCACATCCACCGGAAAGTAATGCCACAGTATAACACATGGTTGTTAGCTGCAAGCCATACCTAATAAGTCTGGAGAAAGAAAAACATGAAAGGACATGAATAACAGAGGACTGATTAGTATTATCTCTGCAATATTAACATATTTATCCATTTTTTTCCCAGCTCTGGGTATTAGACTTATTAAAAATGGGGCAGCTCTGCAAAGGTGGAGTATATTCATGTAAATTTTGTTAGCTTGTGGACACAAGCTCGTTAGACAATATGAAATGTGGGATTCATAGCATTCATATATAACATAGCTGTTATATATATAACATAACTGGTGATCATTGAGATTCCTACAAATCTAAGATTATCTGCCTCTAAAATCTAAAACCAACTTATTTTAAATAATTTCCCTCTGGGANNTCTGATTCTGATTCTGATTTTTTGACATGAGATATAAAGGAGGGATTTGAATAGATTTAGACACAGATATGGACATATTATAAACCGGTACAGGAGTGGTACATGGCCTTTTGAGAAGCACGTACTCTACAGATTGTTTCAGTGAACTTAAAGGGTCCAGTGTGTAAC